AGCAAGGATTCTTCTGAAGCCATTCGCGTCAACCCCAGACGGGCCTCCTGCTCCTTTTGTTCTCAAGGCAGCTTGCCTGACCATCTCTCCGTTAATCTCTGTATACACGGATTCCGGATACTGGTCATCAATTGGCCCGAAAAGCAGTGAACCCAATTTGGCTGATTGTGGATTGGGATGTTTCTGTTTTAACTGCGACATGACCTCATCTGTTAAAGACAGCACACCACCACTAGTTGTTTCACTCAGGAAACGCAGCGCTGAGTTGATTTGACCTTCCAGTACAAGCTTAGCAAAAACCTTAGATCTATCGGGCGGTTCCGACGCCTTGAGTTTTCCGATACGACCTTGAATAATTCTACCTTCGCGTAATAACTTATTAATTTCACCTTGCCTCCAAAGTATTAGGCGCTTAGACAAGACATCTTGATGATCTTTTGCCTTAGACTTCGGGCTTGGCTTTTGGAGCCCTACGGCGAGAAGCACAAAAGCTGCTTTCAGGGATATGTGCTGATTGTCGGAACCACTATTCCAGTCATTAATATGGAAAGTCACTTGATCAATAAAATTCCTTCCTATTTTCCCATACGGTACAAGGAATACGTTTTTTCTCCAGGTTGCGATCTCGTTGTAAGCATCTGTTATGACTGACGTCGATATAACAATTGCATTACCATCGCTTCGTTTCCCCCAGTTGTTCATAGATGGCTTGTAAATGGTATTATACTCTGGAAGGCATCCCGGGCTGTTTAAGTGGTTTTCACTTTGCTCTTTCTGCTCTGCGTCTCCTGGGATTTGAGGAGAACTAACTATATGTAAATCTTGGTTTGATGAGGCTAACAGATTAGCATATTGTGATTCACTCCCTGTTTCTTCAAGAATAGAGAAATCTGTATTTATGGGAAAAGAAGTAAAGCCTCTCGAGTTTGCTCCGATTTGAGCATCCGTAGACACGATTCTTTGAGCGAGAACTCTTGAATTTGCGTCCGTCTGTGCCTCCCACGATAGGTTTTCTGAGCTCTCTTCTAGCGTTTTCTCAAGTCTAGCTGCTTGATCTCGTAAGTTCTGGCTTGAGAGTCCGAGATCTCCGTATCCTTTCGCATCCCAGAGCTCACTCATAATTCTGATATAGCCTTTTTTCCTCCCATTACCATCCAGCGGTGGTTGTTCCAATAGTGTCATAGCCACGGCCTCTCGTTTGCAGCTTAGAAGATCGGCATTCATTTGTTCCGTCCATTTGCGTCTAGGTTTTAATTTTCTTCGGTCAGTCATTCTTATAAATAATAATGCTGGCGATAATCGGAAACTTTTGGCTATATACAATTCCAAAAAAAAGCTGCTTTAAACATTTTAAGAAATTATCTTTGCCTCCGAGGAAACGTGACCGTACCGTGACAAGCTCAATAATATTATTAATAATATAATAATAATAATAATAATAATAATAATATAGCGCCTTTCTCTTAGTAATCCAAAGGGCTTTACAATCAGTTAATACTTAGAAACAAATAAATCAAATACAACATAACAGGATTAAAACCCCTAACTGGCAGGAGGCAACCAGTTAGCTATTTACAAGCGTGGCCGAGGATTTGAACTCGGGACGACCGAGAACAAATCCAGCAAGTGGCCAGAGCGGGACTCGAACCCGGGACCGCCGGATTGCGAGTCCGACGCGCTGACCACTCGGCCACGCTGCCTACATTAACTTGTAACTTAGGACGCCTTTTTCTTAATTCTGGACCACCAGCCGGACTAACAAGCGGGCAGTATGAATCAATCTTTTACAGTGAAAAACGAAGAAATACCCCAAAAACGTCCGAGCAAATTGTGTGTTAAAGAACTAGTTGAACATACTTTGTAAAGGTACCTCCCTCGGGTATTATGATAAATGGCGACTTTACATCGACATTAACATCTGTGATCTGCAAAATAAAAAAAGACTAGCCAGTTGTCCCATCCCAACATGATATTTATAACAGTTAAGAATGTGTTAACAATGACTTATTTGTAACCTTATCGGTTACCATTTAAACAACCTAAACTCTGACGAAGACATGCTAAGGTTTGACCACTGCAATTAATGATACTGAACAGTACTTTCGGGTGGTACCTTTTTTGCTCGAGACGACTTCTACAAATTCAATACTGTGAACGGAAAACCTAACGCGGCACCATCCAAATAATGTGACCTGCATCAAGCAGTACCTTCAGGTGACATTGCTGAAGCTCGAACACCTACTCTTTTGAAATTTCCTTAGCAGTACTTTACCTATAGCACTGTTTGCACTGTCGGTTCTGAATTTTACCACTGTAGAAAATACACTTTGGGTTGGGTCTACAAGCTGGGAGCATGTCAGAGCAGTTAGGTTACTGGAGTGTTACGTTGTAACGAAGAGGTCTTGGATTGAGGTTCGGCTATTAATGGCTGGAAATGGTTGTTAGTAGTGTCGAGTTCAGTCATCTCCTAGGGCCACAATTGTCGTAACGAATGATAGACATACCTTGTGGTGTTCAATGGCATAGGACAGGCTTGCTTTGGAAACTGACTTCAAATCTTCCAGTCGGGAATATGCTGCTGCAGACAACCTAAAGGACAAATATCAACCTCATCTTTTACTTTTTCCAGCAATACACACTGATTATAGGATAAGGTTGACCAAACATCGTGGTTTGTGAGAGGCGAGCAGGTCTAATATTTGCCAATAACAAAGAAGCTGCCAATAGGCACCTTAAGATCCGACGACGATGGCAACGAGAACGTCAAAAAGCAATAATTTTAACAAGAACGCTGCACGTGCATCAAACTTTTTTGCACATTTCTTTGCCGTATTTGAACGACTACGACGTGAAAATGCCTATATAGTTATATAGGTACTCACTCGGAAAGATGAACGTCTTTTGGAGGTTGGAAGAATGTGATCACGTGCTCTACTGTGTTCTGGAAAACAAAAACATCTCAATAATTTGAGGAGGCAAAGAGGAAACAATCTACTTGGATCGATGCATAATGCACTCCTAACATTCTAGCAGGCCAATACTTTACTATTACCTACTTAAACAACGACCAAAACAATAACTGGTTCCTACACTTACATACTAAGAATACAACAACTCTATCGTGCAAGCAGAACAAATAACTCATTCTAGTGGAACTCAAATCTCGATGGTAGATATTCGTAGCAATGGTATTGTTTTTAGCTTAATCATCAAGCAACGCCTCTCTTCTCCCCTCTTTGCCACTCCCGCTCCCAACAGCTCTTCCAAAGCCAGCGGGGAAGACTACTCCTTGGTTGGAGTCTACCTCCACAAATACCACTTTTTCCCAGAGGATTGTACTAGGCGTCTGAAGTCAAATGACTCAACGGTTTCTTCTTTCTCCCAGGAGATATCCATAACCCCCGGGCGATCCCGCACCTATTTGAAAGATTGTTTTTGATTAACTGGGAAAACAATAGGGATTGTCACACAACAATGCCCCTATCCCTGAAAACAATGGATGTGCAGATTAAAGGGGACCAGTGAAATAAGAGGTTTACAACGGTGCACGTCTACTGTACCTCCCTTCAGATTGTTGCTTAATCGCCATCTCTGCAATATTTATTCCACTTTTAGGAAACTTGGCATCCCTCCTTGTTCTTTACTTGAGCTTTCAACCTTTCGCTAAGCCTAACCTGTTCATAATAGCGAGCTTACGCAACAGGACGGGAGAGGAAAGAAGACGGCAAACCCTCTGTGTAAAGTGTGACAAGATTTTTAATCTTTTTTGAAAAAAAATTTCGCCAAACTGCACAGTCCATTAAACAGAACGTTTTGTAAAAGACCAGAAAACATTAATGTAAGTGAAGATCACGACAAAACACGTAAGTAATAGCCCTGTCACGTTTGTCACACACAAGCGTTTTGCCGTCCTCTTCTTTCTGCCGTCCTGTTGCGTAAACTCACTAATAACTACTTACAGCATCATAGATAACTTTGACTGGCTGTGAAGACACTACAGCTCTCTGGTCACACTTCCCATCAAGAGGATTTGTCTCAAAGGACGCATTGAACAGGGCAAGGTGTTGATCTGCAAAAAATACAGTAATCCTTGAACACTCTCGCAATAACAGAATGGAAAGGCAGTTTGCAAGCAACTTCAGCTTGACTGATGATCACCAGACAGTGTCTCATTTGAGGCAATTTGAGTAGCCTGAGAAAACAGCCACCACTGAAATGACGTCTGAGAGAAGAGTGAAGAAATTCCATAGTGATGACGCGTCACCACCTAGATCTGGGTAGTGCTTCTGATTGGTTGGAACAAATTTTCAGCTAATCAGACGCACTACCCACGTCTGGGAAGTGACGCGTCATCAGTATGGAATTTCTGCGCTCGTTTCCCAGACGTCATTTCGCGGGGAAACCAGTGATGGCGTCTCAAAATGTCGGCTGTTTTCCCAGGCTACAATTTGAGTAGCTTTATATGTAGACAAACCTGGTTTGTCATCTTGTGACGTTATCATGAGTGGCATCTGTCCATTACTGTCAGCAGAACCAAACATCTTCATCATGTCAACCTTTGCCGTCACTCTAAATAAAATTATCATTAAATAATTAGCAATTAATGAATGAGGTTGATGGTTATGGTGACTTATGCGTGTCCTTTTAGCTAATCAGAATTGAGGAAATATTTTGAATGAATAATAATTATTGTTCAAATATGCTTTCCTTTAACGTCGATCCAACTCAATACTCTGGGTACCACATCCTATGGAGTGACTTTTCAAATGAAACCTCTTCCTATGTGATCTTGCAGTGGTCAACTCCTTTCTCAACAGCTAACAAAATCTTCAATAAAACCTGACGCGATCAAGGCCGGCGGGCCCCGGGGGATCGAGGACTGGACTCCCTCTGAAATGATGCTTGGTTTTCCTAGAAATTACTGGTCCTAACTTACTTGATAGCTTGAGCAGAGGGTCTCTGAGAAAGCTCTGCTAACAAGTCCTGGAAACTTAGTCTTGCAACATCATTTCGCCTAAAACATTAACATGTTTTTCATCAGATATGCTCGGACCTTTATAACAATAACAATGCAAAGCAAAGGACTGTCCTTGAAAAGCTGACCACAGGAGATTGCAAATGAAGAATAATTAGGTTGCTACGATATTGATATTCAGTGCGTCGTCAGATGCAAACCTCACTTCCGCTCTCACGAAAAGATAAATTGAATGTCGACAACCCCACGACAGTTTAATATTAGTCAAACTCTTTGAGAACAAGGGCAAATAAAGTCACAACCGTTTTTCAGTGTCGTCAGGAACGTCAGTACACTAGGGAAAATACGACGCCCAGTAAGATAATTTTTGGCGCGATGTAAACTTAAGCTACGTTGACGCGGAACCGAACGAATTTTCGACCAGTTGTAGATTCGTGCGTTTAGCAGTTCCCTTGACACGGAGCCACCTTAACCGTGCGTAAATTTAAACGCCTAACCGTTCAAATTTCCGCGTAAACGAAGCGAAAATGGATCGATTTTCGTATGACCTTGAAAAATGGTTTCGGTAAGTGTTCGTTATTTGCTTTATCAGCCAATGGATAAAAAGATCAAAACATGGCTTCTTCGTTTTCCCGCCAAAGAAAACCCTAAAATGGAGAGGGCATTGTTCGATTGGCCAATCGTGTTGCAGCATGACGTCAAAGCGAAGTATCGGTTGATTTCTAGAAAGTTCTCGGAGCATGAAGTTTTTTCACCCGAGCATTCGCTTAACCAACCAAAAGCCACGCGCGTTTGTATCCGTGCCATAAACCAATCAAATCGCTCTATTGAATAATTCCGTGTGAACGTAGTGTTCGCCCAAATTTTTCAGCCGGTCGAAAATTCGACCGGTACCGTCTGAACCTAGCCTTAAAGCTGACATGTGAGACTGTAAAGCTAAAGTAATGTGTATTAAACACTCACGTGTCTCCTGTGATGTCTCTGAGAGCCACGCTGATTTGCTTTAAATGCATGATGACTTTATTTTCGACATACTAAATCATAAAATGAACCAAGAAAATGTTCACGTGTATTAGCTCGTTAGAACAAACGTTTCAAAGCCATTCATTCACATAATGACTGTTACAACGACATGAGCAATATCAACATAAGGTTTAATTCATCCTTGTAAATAAGAAAATCCCTTGGGCAAGGGGGTCACCGCAGAAGGTAAAAACAACAGCTGTGAGAGATAAACGGTGATATGCTAAAGAAAAGTACCCCATCACCAGAATTATCATTGACGGAAAGGATTTTAGCCATTTTATAACAAGTAAGAACCACTCGTAAACGACCACCTCCCGTAAGCGACCGCGAACACGTTTCGGGACTGACGGTTTAATAATTTTCCGTTGTCTTTAACCTCTATGCTCGCTCCATGTACTGGGCTTTTTAGAGTATACGAAGAACTTTTAACGACAACATGAAACTGCACACATCGCAACGTAGAAATTGCATGCACCAAATTATCTTCCATAAAACAGATGTCTGGACCTCTTCTCGGAAGAGGTCCCCTGTGGTCCGATTCTCGCAAGCGACTACCTCCCGTAAGCGACCAGTAAGTCTTCCCATTTTAGATGGTCTCTCACGGGAGGTTTGACTGTATGTAATTTCTTTATTATTTGCGCCCTACAAAACAACATGCCGAAGGCTCTTACGGATGTGAAGATTTCTTCTTTTTTTTTTCACCTAGAGTTCATGTTATTACTTTAATTTGATTGCTTTTATCATAAGTATAGAAACTGAGGCTTCGCTTTTAGCCCTGGCTAAATCTATAAATTACCTCCTTTGGAAATGCAGTGATGACTTCCCCTTCACTATAGCCTATAGCAGAGTACAGCTTTTCTAATTCTTCTTTCTTCTGTTCCTCTGTTAAGATTTCTGTTCAAAACATAAGGTCTCTTTAGTCCCTTTTGCCAGTGAAAGCAGTACGGTTAGAGCATTCATAAGCAACTACGGCCATTTAAAGGGAGACGTTTTCATACTTTTCATGTTTTAAGCTTTTCCAAAGTAGCCACTTGACCAATGGCTTGACCATTTGGCAGTGTAAATTGGGTCATGCGACAAAGCGCAACTGTTTATGAAATGAAAAATTAAAGAGAATGTATTTCCAACTGCATAGCATACTTTATAAGCAACGGTATGTGCCACAATAGCAATTTAGAACAAGTTTGAAGTTTATTACTTCATAAATACATAGCAGTTCGACAACTGAATTGCATATTTACGTTACAAAAACTAAATTATAGATCAAAAACATTAACTAATCTATCTTAATTGAAAGGAATAAAAAAGCTAACAGCAACAACAAAGTACTCCACAAAATCTCCAACGACTTTTCGATTCTAGTACTTAATCAAGACTTTGAACTGTCCGAAAATTTAACTCTCTCTCTCCTCTCTCATTTTTTCAAATGCTCGAACAGGGTCTATGGTCGTGCCAAAGAAGTACAGAATTTGAATAAAACTTGCTTGCGTTTCCGTTTTGCGTTGAAATAGTAATACCACTCCATTATGGAGTTAACAAATTAAAGATGAAGAAAAATGAAGGTGCATGGCTCACCTGGCTGCTGCTCTTCCTTCTTGCTTTTACTCTTGGAGCTAAACCATCCAGAAAACCACCCACCACTTTTCTTCTCTTCGGCTTTCTTCTTCTTTTTCCTCAAAGCTGCAGCCTCCTATTGTAACAGAGATTAGAGTTTAAGACATGCGCCCTCAGGAGACAAAGAAAGACTCCGTTTGAAGCTAGTCAACCCATTTTCTGCTCACTAGCCCCAAAAGGGAAAACCACCCATTTTGATCCCACTTTTTAGCTTTTTCCGCGTGTTTGTGTTTTCTGTTGCTGGGCTTTTACCAGGACTTAAAAATTTTGTAAGAAAAGTAGTGTAGCCTGAGAAGACAGCCGAGATTCGCGACGCCACCAGTGACTTCCCCGTGAAATAACGTCTAAGAAACGACTGCAGAAATTCCATACTGACGACGTGTCACTACCCAGTTCTGGGCAGTGCTTCTGATTGGTTGAAACAAATTTTCAACCTATCAGAAGCACTTAACGGATGAGGGTAGTGACGCGTCATTAGTATGGAATTTCTGTGCACATTTCTCAGACGACATTTCGCTACGAAACCGTTGGTGGAATCACGGAATGTCGGCCGTTTTCTCAAGCTAGAGGTAACAGGAACCTTCAGCAACAACGACGGCGACGTCTATGAAAACGTGAGTTAAAAAGTGTGTTCGCTCTGCCTCAAACTTAATCTCACGTATTCCATCTCGTTCAATTCGTCAAATGTAGGCAAATTTTTGTTATCTTGTGTTCACGTCCTCCACAAAACGTGAAATTAGGCAGTTTAAAGTCGTAGCCGTGTAGAGACGGTAAAGAAATGTACACGTGCAAAGTCGGTGTTTTGCCAATCTAGACCTTCTGTTTTTTGCCGTTCTCGTTGCCGTCGCCGTCGCTTAAGCTCCTTAATTGTAGTATGTTTACTACGGTGAAACGTATTAACATTTAAAAGTACCAACCTCATAAGCCGCCTGACGTCTACAAATGGTGATATTTAACACATCTAGCTTGTTTTCAAGTTCCTAAAGATCAAAAAAGACGTAAAATGGGGCAAAAGGTCAATTATTTACATGATACGTTACATGGCTACTTTGCTAATTTGATTTATGCCAATTACTTTATTACTAAATGTTAAGTGCATTTCCACGAGAAACGACATATATTTTTTGCGTCAAACGTCCGATTACAATAATCGCAAATATGTCCATCGTAATCGTAAGTCTGTTACGGACACTACCCTAGACGTAGCTGCATGACAGAACTGAATACATAGACTATTTCATTTTATGCAAGAGACCAAAAACAATAGACCATTTTTGATATATCAAAATTCATACTTGGCTCCAAGGCTTGGAGGAATAAAACAAAATAAACGTATTATTCATTACTGACCCTCAAGATGATTTCTTTTGTTTTATTCCCCCAAGCCTCGCAGCTAAGTATGGATTTTAATATATTGGCATTAAAGGGTGCGGAGGTTGATTGCAAAGATCTGTAATGCACCTGACCAATCATGAAAATGAATTCATATATCACAAAATTAAAGAAAATGTTACGTACCTCAAGTTTCTTGTCGAGTGCATCAGTCTGTTTGTTTGACAGCAACTTCTGCTTATACAAATCTTTGTACTTCCGACAGAGATCCCTATATCAGGAACAATAGAATCTGATTTAGGGCGTATTCCACTGAATAAGAATAAATGGAAGAAACTCTCGAAACCACATGTTTTGGCATTCATTGCACTGCAATATTTTGAAATCTGCTTGAAATAGAATATTCCAATGTACGTAGCGTTTACGTAATCCAAAGATCATGGTACAAGGGATTTGCTTCAAAACCTTTGGCGTATCCTTATTCCGGAATACAATCAATGGAACACACCCATTGTTTTGATAATATATAGATTTAGCCAGAGCTGCTAAGTTCTCTTTAATATTAATAGTTTACTCAAACAAAATATAAAATCGTGTGATGTTAAAGAAATGGTGAAGACAACGAGAACTGTAAACAAAAAAAACAAAAACAGGTCTAATTAGCAAACAAGAAGACGCCCGAAGGCGCTTACGCGGGATGTGTGGGTTTAAGAAAGAATTACGGGTACCGGTATGTTGGATGGAAATGGAAGTTGAGTAGTGTATGCAACAAATGTGTGCAGGAGAGACGGAGATGTTCTGTTAAGGACTAATACACTAGAAGATGAGTTACACACAAGGGTTCCTTTGCTACTCAAAACAAAACTTACATCAATATTACCACCATATATGTTAGGAGTATGGGGTAGTTCACTAAAATTTGCATTCCTTTACCCCATGTCCTCAAAAAATGCACTTCCACATTTAACAATAGCATGTAATGTATCATACTTCCAATAACTACAGGGCTGCAAGGAAGTGCTCTAGGGAAAATTTCAGAGAGCCCTTTGGGCTCCCCAAGCATTTTTAGCTGGGCTACCCGGGCCTCTAAGTTGGTCGCCCAAATTAATAAATCAATGAGCTGTTAGTTAATTATTAAACATTAAACAAATTATTTTCTTAACAAGTCAAGCAGAATTTTTTGAATATTTTTTTCATGAAAAATCACATCCCTTTGACCTCCTGAGCGTAAGAAAAAAAAAAAACCCGCATGTTGTCATATGAAAGTAAGTTTTCGCGCCATATGAGAAACATGGACCACGCCGCAGAACATTTCACGTTTTTTAAATGGAAAAATAAATTTGGGGGTCAAAAATAAGGGCAGTATTCTTTTTACTAATCATTTTGATTTAGGTCAGGAGCTCCTGTTTAAGATTAACTGAGATCCCGTGGAGCTTTCCGGGAAAACTGTTATGATTTCAACGAAACCGCGGCGCCCCCCCCCCCGGGGGGGGGGTTACTTGCGTTAATTTTTGCTGGGTATGTGCCGCTGGCCTCTCAGAACCCCTACCCCATTATAGTCTTTTCTGTGGCCAATATTGTAGACCCCATATTAGTCACTCTTGGGGAAATATGTAATTTTTGCGATCCCAAGTTAGTCACTTTCTATTTATGTATCTACCTTATCAATCCTTTAAATAGGTCATCAAGAAATGAATTGACCACCTACAGTACAAATATCCTGATAGGTTTGCTAACCGTAAATATGAAAAGCTCTCTTACCCCAAAAATCCGAAAATGTGCGACCCCATTCTAGTAACTCTTTTGAAAATGCAACCCCATTAATCTGCATGTAGTCGTGAAAATGCGACCCCATCCAGCGGCACCTCCCCATTAGCCTCTTTATAAGGAAGTGCCCCCCCACCGGGGGCCGCCCCAAAACTATTATCTTTTTTGAATAGATCATCTTGTTGTAAAGTCGTCTTTTAAGCGCAAAACAGAAGTATTTTCTTTCTATATTACCGGTGAAATGTTCAGGACAAATGTAGATTCGGTTAGCTTTTGCGTATTTATTTTTAGTACGTGATACGTAATGCCTTGTCACGAGACGAAAGACAATGCGGGATTTTATAGATTTATACCCCCTTTATACCCGATTCTAGAACAATCACAATTATAATAGTCGTCTCTTTTCTTTTTTATGCATCGTATTTTACTGGAATAACAATCTTAGTTATGTTTTATCCTCGCAGACACAGCAGTCAACAAAGGTAAAAATATTTAAAGAACATAGAAGACCGACTCCCTTGTTTATTCAGCGATTTTTCAAAATACAAAACTATTGTTTTGCGTCGCCGACCGTACTTCACGCCCGTCAGAGCAAAAGTAACAACTTGTTTTGAAAAACTAACTAATGAACAATCCTAATTTGAAGAAAAAATTTCAATGTTACTATGAAAAGCTGTTACTATCGAAAACTGTGCAGCTTGTCACGTTCATAGTCAAGGATTATGTTACATGTGAATTCACGTGAAACGACCTTTGAACATCAACGCGTGCCCGCTGCCCGATTTAACAACATTTTCCTAAAGCTTTTTGATAGACATGCTACTTATTGCTACTTACAGAGTCGACCTCAAGAGTTTCTTAGCGAGAGGAGCGTTCTTTTTAGGCTGCGAAGCCACCGAGAGAGCTACGATTTCGCAAGTAGTAAATTCTAGGCATTCTTAGCTTTTTGACTGTAACTCAACAGAAACAAGAAACCAACACCAGCAAGTCGCCCGGCTGGGCCACCTAGACAATATTTTCAGTCGCCCGAGGCCAAGTCTTGCGCCGTATTAAGAGCACGGCCTTGAGTCTTCGTCCTCCTCTAAACAGTGAGCTTCCTTTTCCCTCCTTTGCTGACGCAGTATGTTTTATCGGCTTGTGCAATCCAGCCTGACTTGCACGTGCTTCGACGTTGGGGCCAATAAAAATCCACACAATTTTTCGGGACGGGCACGGGATACGGGAAAGTTAAAAAAACAAGGCAATTTTTGACTCCCAAGACGACGAAAGGAATGCGCTACCGAATTTTAGACGCTGGCTGACTACGTCATCCCGCGTAAAAAAACAACTTTGCACGTGCAGCACACTTTTTTGAACATTTCTTTGCCGTTATTTTGCATGACTACAAAGTGAAACTTCCAGAAATTTCCTGGTTACATGCGTTCTGTGGAGGAAATGTTGTATCTGTTCCTGTTCACTTTTGTTTGACTGCCGCTCATTTTCACCTTGGTGGCCGCCAGCATTTCTCATTTTCTCACCGCCGCTATACAATTTTCATGTTTTTCTTCAAATGAAGTTGGTCTCCGTTGCTCCAACTCTTTCTCTCTCTTCCATGTTAATATAGACATTTAGTAATGGTCGAAAGAAAGACTCGGCTTTGTTGTTGTTTTTTCTTCTCTTTAAAAGCTCGGGTGGCCATGCGATTTACCGCCTAAAATGCTCTCTGCCGTTCACTCTCCCGTTGCTCAGCACTTAAAGTCTGTCCTCTGCACGTTCTATTTACCCTGCTCTCGTTTGTTGACATAACTAGCAATGATTTTGCAATTAAGTTTCAAATTTAGCACTGTAAATAGCTTTGTTATGAAAAAGCTGTAAAAGAAAGAAACCTCTCTGTGTCTTTTTCAAAACGACGAGGGGTTATGCTATTTCCCGCCAGCGGGCTGCCCATGGTCCAGAAGCGCGATTTCCCGCCAAAAAAAGCAGTATCCACCTCACAGTCGGGCTGTTTTCGAACTCCCTTCCCCGTCCCCCAGAGTCTGTACGATCCGGTGGGAGTACGCTGACGTCACAACCAAAATTTGTCGGATGGATAGATAACCAAATTTCCTTAACAACGGGGTTTCACTCGCGCGCGCTTCGCGGGCGCGTGGAGCTCCGCTGTAAACAGGTCAATGCCCCTATTACTGTAAAATAACATGCTAGAAATTGCACATCAAAGTTGGACGTTGCACATAGTCTCCATTGTCTTTCGTCAAGACTTAAACAGCAAGGCTTTTAAGTCCACGTTGCTCCTTGACCCTTGAACTCTGAAGATCTGAATACTAATTCTCCATCCTGACTGCTATACATTTTATTGTGCATTAGTTTAGAGAATTTGGGTTTATAACTAAGCGCATCCTCTGGTTGCTACATAAAGCGGGTTATAATACTTCCTGAACTCGCCTGTGTTGTTTCATATGTGCCCACGACCAGTTCCTTCGCTTCCTTCTCACATCTTCCTCCAGAATACTTTTGATTGCGTAGTTCCACCTGTTGCAGTGAGAAGAGTGAGTACGCAAGTATTAAGTTACAATCAAACCTCCACTAACGGCCACCTCTCTACAACGGCCATTTTTTGGGGGACGGACAGCCCATACATTCACTCTTGTTCACTCTTATGCCTTGACGCTAACAAATTTGTATTGCTAAGTTTCTTTTCTCTTGTAAGGAGGATTTTTCCGAGAGTTTCAAACAAACCACTGCCTAATAATGCAAAAGGTCCACTTCCGGTCGACGTCCGTCGCTTAACAACGCTGTTGCTTAAGCTCCTACAACTTATCTATAACGGCAACTTCTCTACAATGGCAGCTTTCTTCTGTCCCCAAGGTGGCCGTTGTAGAGAGGTTCAGCTATATTAAAGTATGTTTTTTCATCCTGGTACAAACAAAATAATGAACAAGAAAAACCCTGGGATAGTCTTGCATTCAATCCAGGGTGTGAGTAAAAAAACTATAGGATCCAGATCACCTACAGCAGTGGCATCCAAGTCCTAAAGGAAGTGCACCTTCTCTCTCCTCCGCACAGGATTCTTTAGGGAGCTTAAGCAACAACGACGGCGACGGCGACGGCGACGAAAACGTCAGTTAAAAAGCGTGTTCGCGCTGCTTTAAACTTTATCGCGCATATTCCTTCACGTTCTATTCATCAGATGTTGGTGAATTTTTCTTGAGTTGTATTCTAAAGGACTGCACTACAGCTGTTTCAGATAACACGCGACCTGCGTTGTCAAAAACGTTTCAGGGTTTTGGGTTTTTCTTCGACGTCAATCAAACCGTTACCATAGCATCCAGTCCTTGCTTGTTAAATAAAGGCGACAATAACGAGCAGAAGCGGCAAAAATAAGTGTTGGCGATAACGTACCGATTCGTTTTCACCCTCCCATATCCGTGTTTCTTCTGGGTTTGGAAGCTCTATAGGAACAATTTCACGCTGGGAATCTAAACTTGCCATGTTTCAGTAAGCAGGTAAAAAAATTTGAGAGCTATATAAGAAAGTGAAAACACGCAAACTCTGAAGTTCAAAAGCAAAGAGCCTTGAAACACAAACACACAAAAAGGATCGAAATCCACTAATCACAAATCACAAACCATGACCTTTTGAACCCGTTGTAGTAAACTTCTGTTTCCTAAGAGGTCGGCTAAGAAGACACCGAACCTTCAGAGTTTGATTGACGTCGCAGAGAAACTCAAAATCCAAAACATCTGTAAAGTTCAGGGGAAAAAAGAGTCCTTGTCTTGCGTTCACGTCCTCTACAAAACGGGCAATTTCACGTAGTAGTCGTGCAACGACAGTAAAGAAATGTACAAAAAAGCGTGATGCACGTGAAAAATGATGTTTTGCCAACCTAACCCTATTGCTTTTTTGCCGTCCTCGTTGCCGTCGCTGTAAGGACGCTGGGAGAAAGAAAACGAGAGCGGGCGGGGGGCGATGGGAAGAGGAAAGAAAAGAAGCGATGCCTTTTCCTTATTCCTATCGTCGCCCGCGCGCTTGCTATTTTCCGATTATTGCTCTTTTTATTGGATTCCCAGCGGCAGTCTCTGCGGAGGAGACGCAACATTTAAACCATGGTTGCGCTTCCAGTGCTGTATAGTGTTAAGGTCTACGAGAACGCTATGGCACTGATCATAAATTAACATGTAATTACCACTGCTTGGCATGACCATGGAGAGGGTCGTTTGGTTTGTACTTCCTGAACCTTGAATTTGTGGCCATTCTATCAAATGACTCCAGTAGCTCCATTACATCATGATACTGCTGTCTCAGCAAAACAAGTTGGATTTCTTGCAACACTAGGCTGAGGAAAATCTAAGAAGACATAACATTCATAATTTAGGAAGTACAGTAACAGTCCACTCTCCCATAACGGAAACGTCGCTAAAACAACATCCTGGCCCGGGTTGCTCAAAGCATGGTTAGTGCTAACCAGCGTTAAATACCGTGGAAACCTATACATTTTGATACCTCTTAACCAACGGTTAGCACTAACCAGGCTTCGAGCAACCGGCCCCAGGGTACCATTACTGCTATTAGTTGAATCCCTATAAGACTCACACCTTTCTAAAACGGACACCTAGAGTTCGTCCTGGCCTTTCTTTGCTCCTTTTAGTTTACTTTCTATAAGACTCAGGCCTTGCTAAAAAGGACAGCTAGAGTTCGTCCTGGTCTTTCTTTGCTCTTTAACTACTCCCTGTAAGAATGACAGCTTGCTAAAACGGACGCCTACAGTTGGTCCTGGTCTTTCTTTGCTCCTTTTAGTTTACTCTCTATAAGAATACCTTAGGAATACTCAAATCAGAACCAGGTTTGATGTTCATCTTGACTTTGGTGGTAGCTGAGATTGGCTGCAGAACTGATAAGTAACAAAAGTTAAATATAATGAACAGTGATAAGCCTTCACTGAAAACAATAAACCCTTCCACGCTTGTTTACAATTTGTAAAGAGCAGTGAGCGAATATCTATGGACACTACTAGAAGGACAGCCTTAAAATAAGGTACCTTACCAGTTTCAAAGTGATACGTGCAAACAGACGTTTTATAGACATTTGTATGATGGGGGAACGCCCCCCCCCCACTACAAAATTTTCACCCCTTTGACGGATTTTCGCTGCCACGTCCCGGTCAACAGTTGAAAAAACCGTGGTAGGGTCTATTAATTGAACTAAAATGTACGTGGTTTGATCAAAGCATGAGAACAGAAGGATAATTTATTCAATAATGTTTAATTTCAGCGTTAGAAAAATATGTTGCACACACGAGACTTTTAAGAGGTGCATCAAACTATAGAACAACCAGTAAAAATACCCTTCGATGAATTTCTGACAGAAGGAATAATTCTCAATCCTTGCATTATAACAGAATCAGGCCAACAATTATAAATTCCTATGGTCAGTTTCTTGTGAAAGCAATTAACGTTAAAAATTAGAAATAACTTTACGTACACGTTTCGATCCAACAATGACAATGATGATGATTACGATGACACTGAAGATGACAAAGCTTTATAACTGACCATGATGATAATGATTTTTTCGATGACGATGATGATGGACCCAGCGAAACGTCCAATAACGTTAATTCAAATTTTTATTGTTAATAAATTAAGAATTCATAACCTATTCAACAGCTAAAACGACCACAGTTTTCGAAGATTTTGAAAAAGATCTTTAATTTTCCAGTAATTTTTCCAGTCTGAGAAAAAACAGAATTTGGAACATCCTGAAAATGTATATTAAAATTCACTGGGTATAGACAGTAAAACGTCAAAAATAGTCATAGTAAGTACACTATTTACCAGCCAAAGCAATGGATATAAACTGAACTTACTGTATTCAAAGTCTTTAGGAGAGTAATGATTTGAACTCCGGGTGGCTATTCCTCCTTTAGCTATATTCTGGAAATAAAATAAATTAAATGTTTTGGTAATAACTGGACAAAGCCACATCCTGGTATTTCGACTTCAAGAGAGGGTTGACGGAGACGTTCTGACAATGTTTCAGGTGGGTCAAAGGAGGTGCCCAGAGCTAAATACGAGTTAAGGCTGAAGGGTATGTATAAGAAGGTGACAGAGACTGGATGATCACTATCAAGTTAGAAGCCACAAAAGGTACCATTGTGCAAGACCTGTGCCCATAGCTTCAGATGGATACCAATGGCTGGGTGTACTGACATTTCTTGTGCAAGGGCTTGGAGATATTGATTACGATGGTATTGATTAAGTACTATTTTTTCTGATGTTGGTGATAACAGATAAAGAAGTCAAGATCGTGACCATGATAGGACTATAATAAAAAAACCTTTCAATCAAGTGATGAAGGCTGAGGTCAGTTCTCAGTGGATTTACCTGCCACTCTTCTTGAGATGGTAGTTTCCCAATATCATCATTTGAATTCCAGTAGAGTGCTAAACTATCTAGTTTGACAAGCTGTAGAGAAAAAAAATAAATGCATCAAAATAAAAATACCACATGCAGTGGCCATAAAGTAAAGTAAAAATGTTACTAAACTGACTGCATGATTACTCACTGACATAGAGAGAGAAACAAATCATTATAAATATCCAATGTTACATGGAAAAGTGAGATGGAAATAACAATAAGTTTGTCCCAAACTGGAAAATGCACTCCAATGGCACTCACAGGGGCTACGTCACACGATTTGCCATCTTTTTAAAAAGCTAGAACTTGTCATTGCATCAATGGAATTTCAAAAAATAATGGTCCAGTAAGGATATTCAAGAACATGTTTAGGCACTGAAACTGTTTCCTGTCGTCTGTTGCAACGGATGGCAACGATGAAAATGGATTACAGTCAAACCAGGTCAAGTGTACCCCCCCAAGAATACATTAATGAATTTATTATACAAAAGTTGAATCCGTTGCTAGTTGTAGATTTCAGATTGATCTCTGCATTCTTGTATGTGTAATGAGCCGCGAATTCACACCCGAGGCAGTTATGAAATTTCTACCAGCTCCATTTTCCTGAAATTGATGTAAATGTCTTCTAAGAAGCTTAATCCATTCAAAGATTTCCAATCTGACCAAATACAGAGAAGTTCTCGTAAAATATTCACTGCTCATTACGCATGCAGAAATGCCGCTTTGAATTTGACACCAGTTACGGGAACGACTAACGGATTTATTTTTCAAATAATCAATTCACTGATAGAATCTTGGGGGGTACGCTTGACTTGGCTTGACTGTAAAACTTTAAAAAGTTGGGCAAATGTCTTTAAGTTTCAAATGCTAGCTATGCCTGCAAAAATCACCACAAAATTATGGATCATTGTACGTTTCTGCGAAAATTGCCCACCTACCCCCTAAGCCAACATTTTGCACTAAGTGAGTGTTAATGTTGGCTTAAGGGAGGGTAGGTGGGTTTTGTCCCAGGAACGTATAAGGGTCTAAAGTCATTATGGTTATTGTTAGCTGACAACAGGGGCATTTTGAGTATGGGTAAAGCCACTACACCTAAGTAGTGACTTTAACACAGAATTGATCTCAAACAGTAATATCCTTAGGACATGGCCTCTTTAATGACTTTTCCACTTGGCATAAATTCAATATCTTTTGCTGTGGTCCATTGACATCATTTGGGACATGAACTAATATAACTTAAATGGGCTGAACTAATATTACCTTACTTCTCCATTTAATTCGACCATGACTAAGATAACAATCAGTGTGTGGTGCATTAATTTGTATTATCACTGGAACAGTCCATTACTTTTGCAAAATATTTTTTTGTCACTCACACTGTCTTTCTTAAGAAAAGAAGGGGAAAATCATACCTTATGTACAAGCTGTACACTGGAACCAACAATACAGGGGACCCAGTTGCAATCTGTGGACTGTAAACAATTTATTGAAACAAGCTTCATAGTATTTTATCAGTCTATAAGTACACAAATGTAGATCCAGTGTTCTTTGCAAGGTCCAGCAAATTGTTGTCTGTAAAGTTGTCATGAAACTGCCATCCACTCACAAAAAAAAATTCCATCACATTTGTTTCTCCGCACACATATATTTATGAATATAAATTAAAAGACAAGGCAAATGTGGGTAAATAAAGGTGCCACCCTCCTAACCAACTTACCTAACTCAATTTTCTTTCCCTGGTAGCTCACACACAGAAATGTACTTTTCAGGAAGGGAGCAGATTCCCTTCCATATATACCTGGCTCAACACATTCTACAGGGCTGTCGCTAAGATTTCAACATGCCTGGTAACTGCGATAAGGTGTGGAACTAAACAGCCAGGAAGTTCTTTTGGTCTCAATTTCCTTTTGATTCCTATGAAAATAGAGCCCTAGGGGTCATGTTTGTAGTAGCTGGGGAAAATCTCCAGCCCCTGGCCTTTAGTGACAGCCCTGAGGTCCTGGCTGTGCAGCATGAAGAGTGCTCTGCACCTTTTGATCTAACCTATAACTGCCTACATAAATTTTTTCTTCTTATTATTTAAATTTTCTGGCTGGTGCATCTCAACTTGACTTAACAGACAGATTGTTTTACCTCTGCGGACAGATTCTCCAAAGTAATACCAATGGAAAATGGAGATGTTGGATTGGTCACCTTAAAGACAAATGAAAGGAAACCAAGTGTTAACATGCAGACTACTCTTAGAATGTGCAAAACTTAGTTTTAGATAATCCTTAAAAGTACCTTTTGCCATATTTGTCATGTAACGAGGCAATAAACTAATGGATCACAAATGATTGAACCAACAGAATAAAGGTCTCAAAGCGCACCAAAGTTCCATGATTTGCTCAGGTGACTCTAAACAAGGGTTTGGTGAGAAGATGTTTTTTTTTTTTTCACCAATACTGATACATGTACATGAACAAGGCTGTGCTCTATGTAAAATAGGCCATTTTACAGTTATGGATGGAAGCGAGGCTGAGGGTCACCTTGTTTTGATACAAACCTTCTTTGCTTTCTTATGGAAATTGTTCTTGAAAAATAATAGTTAGCATAAGAATAACTTGATTTACATCATAAAGCAGAAAGGTTTGTATCAAAAGAAGGTCAGCCTCAGCCTCGCTTCCATCCACAACTATAAAATGGCCTATTGAAGGGACCCCAGTGCTCTGATATCCAGGGTGCCCAACACATGATTTCTATGCAAAAAAAATTTTTTCTAGTCGCTCAGGAACAGAAGTTGGGTGCTATGGGCCACCAGGCATTGCTAGAGCACAGCTTTGAAGAAATTACACAGATTCGTAACAAATAACACAGCTGTCAAAAAGCAGAGCAGTATTTTCCACACTGGATGCACATAATGGTTACTGGCAACTGGCCTGTGCAGCACAGACAGGTTCCATGGTCATATACAAAAGTGTACTTCTGAGTAGGATTGTTGGTTACATTGCTTGTCTTTACAGACAATATCATCATGAAGGAGGCTCGTGTGGCCAAGAGGTCAACACTTCAAACTCCAGATCTGGAGGTCTGGAGCTCAAGCTTCCTCCGTCTTGTCCACATTGTCTCTCTTCAGCCGGTGTATAAATGGGTACCGGCAACATACTGCTGGGGGGTGACCCTGTGATGGACTAGCATCCCATCCAAGGGGGAGTAGCAATAATTTATACTCCTAGGTATGCTTCACACTAAGGAAACCGGGATAAGCTCTGGCTGCTTGGGCCTTTGGTTCGTGTGCACCTTTACCCTAACCTCATCATAAAAGGTTACTTCTGACATGAACCAGGGCAGAAGCCAGAGGCTAATACCATGAACTGATGCTACAACACCTAGATGTATTTTAACTCTAATGATGACTATATAAACTTGATGAGCCTACCAAAACACCAACAGTACTCCTATCTAGGGGAGATGTTAATTTAGCTGGATAAGCATACAGTACTACTTATTATGTTGCACTTACAGAGTCTTCATAACGAACATGGATGTTGCATACAGAGACCTGCAAAGCAAAACTGCTAATTTAGAGAGTGATCACAGAGACAATACTGCTCTTCCAGATTCTTATCAGTGGATGGTGATTTATACTAGATAGAGAGCTCAAGCTTTTGAAAAACTGGGAGCTATATTAAATCACTGAAATGTTTGAGGGGTCCCTCAGAATATGAAGACGTAAAATAATTTATTTTTTTCTAAGCTTGCAAGCGGGCTGTATTCTCCAAATCCTGCAATCTGATTGGTTCCGAGAGCAGGCAGTTTTTTACGATCTTGCCCGCTAACCCGGGCGGAATCGTTGGCAGCTTTATTCACAAGTTTGTTTTTTGTTTGTGAATGAGCAAAACCGGTAAATTTTAACCATTTTTCATTTAAAACTTGCACTATTATTTAAGGGTTAGCTGTGCAATTATTAGCGTTAGCTTGAGAAACGTACATTTTGTTATTCATACAAAACATCTGAAGGGCGAATCAAGCAAGTCAGCCAGGAAAACTGGTAAAGTAAAGCAAAAAAAGCGGCTTGTGATGTCGCTTCACAAGCTTTATAACCTACGCTGCAAGTACTGCAATCTTGCTCTTATGCACCATTTATTCAACAATTTTGTTCCTCTGTTTGTAGATTTGTTTTCCATTTTTGCTCTCTGAATCTAGATTCTGCCATTTTTCATTGAATTTTGCCTTGCTAGTTTTCAGAAAAAGTTGTTGTCAATGATTGCATGTAGCTTCCAATCTTGAATAAACAACACGAACAACTTTTCCAGCAGTCAGTTACACCATTTTTATTTCTTTATATAATTGTTTAGTTACCCACATCGCCTTCTTTTATTCGAATACAGGGGATACTCAAGACCTCGGGCACAGTTTCTCCCGATACGGACCTCCCAGCCGGTGAATAACATATATATATTATAATTAAGGAACACATAATATTAACCCATGTAGAGTGAACACCTACATGTAGCTTAGGTATTATCATTTTTGTATTGTTAATATCACAGCTTCCTCAACACTAGATATGGTAAAACTAAACTTCCAGAAGTCCCCAAATCTCAAAAATTTAATTATGAAAAAGCCAGTAACCCCTTAAATCTAAACACACTATGTTAACATGTACCTGAAGGTTTTTCACAATCTGCATGGCTAACTTCTCCACAAAGCTGTCAGACTTTTCATCTTTCTGGGGAGCTGAAAGTTACAAACAACAAAATTCAAAACGTTTCAACCATTCAACACACTTCAGTAATTTGTTGAGTACATTAGGGCCCAGAACAAGGATATCAGCACTGCTTCGCAGATGTTACAAATTGAGGTTACAATTACATCTGCGACACCCGTGCAGGCTATACATTTTCAGGTAGTGCCTAATATGTTTCAGAACAATTCCCAAAAATTTGCATCAAACTACAAAATGTAATGGTGTTTAAATGAGTGCCCCTTTCCACAAACCATTCCCATATTGACCAAGGACACCAAGTCTCACATTCCTCATGAAGGTAACGTTAACTTGGGGCATTATTAAAATAAGTTAAGGAATGAAGAAGTACTGCACCATTTTTCTTCTTCTCTTCCTCCTCTAGTTTCCTTGCCAGCTCAATTGCTTCCAACTGTCTTTGTTTCTTCTCCTGTTCAGCCTTTTTCTCTTTCTCCTCATTGTATCTAACAACTTAAGGAAAAGTAACAGTCAATAAATTAAAGCAAAGTTCAAAAATAGGGACTTGCAGACACAGGCAGTACGGCAGTCTTTGGAAGGCACATGTACACGTGCATGTACCCTTACTGTTGTAGTCTATTGGTTCACCAACAGAACTTTCTACATGATTGACCCCCACTATAGAGGTGATGTCAATTACACTGTACCACCTCAATGTAATGACCACCTCCAATAAGAAACTACTGTTCCAGAAACACTTTAAATGCACCAAAATTTTCAGAGTTTAAGCCTATAGAAAATTGGAAACAATCGTGTAAAACACCCCTCATAAGCGATCTCACTTGCTAGCAGGCTATTCCTCTAAGGGACCACTTAAAAACATAATTATTATTATCATCTGATCTCTATGTTCACTGTACAATGTATGTACTGCGCAACTTGGAGTGTAAAGAGGGACTTCATGTAATTTTGTTAACCCTTTCAAATAAGCCCCAATATCCAAGTGCAAATTCTCCATACTGAAGCTCATATATTTCCATGAAGAATTTGTTAAGAGAATTTAATTAAAGACCAGAGCATTTTGCCATTAATGATCATTTTATAATTCTCAACAGGTTTTCTCTTGATTACACTGTATGTTATGGATACTGTTGGGAGGAAATTGATGTTGGTTACTTTTGGAACCTTGCCTTATTATAGGAAATTAACACTCCATGAAATTAAGGTATTGGAAATTAATGCGACTTAAATTAACGCGAATTTAATGGAAAACGACTTTCGAATAAAGAAAATTAACGCGAAAGAGGAGGTAGAATTTCATAATAATGGAAATTAACGCAATTAAGACACAGTTGGTGGTGACAACTGGAACAAATAAACACTGGATGCAAACACTGGATGCAAAAAAATTCAAAACTGAACAAAACTGAGCCATGTGCTCGACACAACCGTACTCAAAATTCTAAACGTAGGGGTTACTCGACAGAATCTGGCCATTTCTAGTGTTTTTCACGCAGTCCATGATACCGGCCGATCTCCACCCTGATAAAATAATGCCCTTAAATCCTTTATCTGTTAAAAGCCATTCATAGACTTCTTTCATTAGCTTGCCGTGGCAGGGTTTCAAGGTAAGCTTCACCTTATCTTTTGTGAAAGATGAAAAATGAAGGGTATATGGAAAGAAAGAAAGCTTGTAGTTAATGTTTTTTAGCTGTCAAGAATGTCTGGACAGGTTCCAAAATTGGCGTTAAAATACTGGAAATTAAGAGCATGGAAATTAACGCTGCACTTAATTAACATCGCAGAAATTACTGCTCAACAAAACTAACACGACTTAAATTAACGTGAATTTTAACAATTCGTGTTAATTTAATGGTGCGTTAATTTCCTATAATAAGGTATATTAAAGGGTTTAGTAAAAATGGTATGCAGTTAATTCTCCCCTAAGACCCTCTATTGTTTGCCTGTCATGAGTGCCACCCCTCTAAGCAACCCTACACCTTTGTATTTTGAGTGGTCTGCACTTTAGGAAAGGTTTGATTGTTGTTCTGTTGGGGTGGGTTCAACACTTCTTTACTCAGCTGTTACATATGTACACTGTAAAATGATTTCTGTGTAAGGATTCAATTTTTCATTTTGACATAGTTTTTACACTGGGCTTCTGATAGGTCACAGACAAAAGTGAAATTTCACAGGATTTTCAGAAACAGATTCACGAAAAAAACCGCTGATTTTGCAGGAATCTCGTGGAAACTTTTGTGCTAACTTCACTGAAAAACAATCGGTAAAAAACAGCCACTTTCGTGGGAATTTTCTGGGCAAATTTTGCTAGAAATCAATCGATACTGCCCTGCTTTGACAAGGATGTTTAATGTTTTTTTAACAGAGAAAATCATTTGCTATTTTAACAACAAAGCGCATGCTCGAGAAATGAGCCAGTGGCATTTAGCTTTTAACATTATGACTAGCGCCCAGGTTTTTGCAACTTAATTTACGTTTACAGCAATTAAACAGCCCCAATAGCCAAGATTATGTTCATCAAGTTTCGAATATGTTGTATCAATAAGTATTTGATACGATTTCAAGCGAATTTCATGGTATTTTGTGTGTTTTTTTGTGAATTTTGAGGGATTTTGCAGAGTTACCTGAATTTCGCGGCTCTGCGACCGCGCAAAATATCTGAAGCCCTGTTTTTTATACTGCATCATGTATGTTAATTTATCCATGTACATTTCAGATCTTTCTTTTCTTTCCAGCAAATTTGCATGTGAACTGATTTAACACTACTTAACGACACTCAGACCTTTAGACTCTCCAGGAATTGAAGGGTGCTAGCTGACACGTACTGTATATCAATACTTACCAGTATTTGGTCTAACAAGTAAATAGAGGCCATCTATTTGGGCCTCAACAGGCTCAGAATACAGATTCTTCCAAGGAATCTTTAGCACTAGCTTCCCTGCAATGATTATATTACAAGTCATACTTGAGAGGAAAAGGCCCATGTTGCACTATCTAGTATACTCCTGTTGATATCATTTAATGTTCTCATCAAAATGAGTACATTGTACACTATATCCTATTCACCCCTGAACTACCCATAACTACATCCCTTCCACCGCTTGAGACATCATCAGTTTAGGTTAGCTTAATGGCTATTTTCAGGGCTCAAAATAAAGTAAAACGTTCTCTTTTTGTTAATAAATAAATTGTCATTGTTTAGCATCTAAGTTAAGTGTAGTTTTTTCTTACAAATTTGTCACCTAAATGGCTCACTGAAAGAGCGTTTTAATGAAGTGATACCATAAAAATTAAAGCTTGATTGATTTGATTTTAACTTGTGCAAGAGGAAGATAATGACCAATGCCAGAAAAAGCATAATTCAGCCAAAGAGGCCACAGAAAAGGCAAAAAAGACATGTAAAATAGACAGAGGAGGGTTTGACTTCTATCTATCCCCTCTCCTCTCTCTTACCTCTTAATTCTCAGCTCAATATTTATCCTCTTTTTTCTAATCTGGTGGCATAAAGGAAATTGGAGGGGGGAGTAGTGGGGGAAGCTACTTCCCATACATTCTCTTAATAAAATCCAAACAATGTTCTCACAACTTGCAAAGCAATCAGCGAGGGTCTTGCCAGTGGACTTGTGTAGTGATCATGCGCATGATCTATAACGATCTATAAATCGATCGAGCACACTGTTGTTGGTTAAGATCTAACATGGTTGCGTTTTAGTTTCCCCCGCAATTTCAGTACCAAAAGACAAATACAATATGCAAGAAAAAGATACATGATATTTTTTTAATTTTTTAATCATTTCCTCTGTCTGTTCGCTTCTCGCTTCTCACTTCTTGAAAAATAAATACTGTGGGAAAAACACAGCAATTATCTGCTCACCCCCACGTGGGGTGACTGCTTTACAAGTTGTGAGAACATTGTTTCTTGGTCCCAGACCTCATATCTTCCCCCCACGCCACCTCTGGAGGGGAGGATCTAACTCTTCTCAGACCAACTATCTCTATCTCTTATAGTTGAGTCTCATCGATGCAATGCAATAAAAATGGAAAGAAAGGAGGAGGTTCTGACCTGACTTTAAATACATGCATGCATATACCCTCACCCATCCTTGCCAATAGGAAGTTTAAGATGCTACAATGGCAACAGCAATGAGAATATCCACAAAGCAATACATATGATAAGCAAAACAACAACTTTGCACGTGCAGAACACTATTTTTGCATATTTCTATGCGGTCACTGCATGACTACCAGGCGAAATTGCCTAGTTTCACATTTTTTGGAGGATGTGCACAAAGTGACAGTGAAATTTCCTTTTCCTTTTTCAACTTAGAAATGGTTCTCAGGAATTCAACCAAAGAAGAGTTTGCCTGCATTTGACAAAAAAAAACAAGTTGGAATAATCGCGACAGACAGATTGAAAGGATGCAGATTCACTTTTGAAGTGATGTTTTTGCCGCCCTTGCCATTGCGGTATATATCTTAAACTCCCTAATAATGCACCATAAAGAGACAGAGAGGGAAGGGTCTGACCTGCCTAATCTATCTCCTTACCCATAGAACAAAACTGTGAAAGAAATGGAAAAGGACAGGTTTATTTGACCCTGTTTATCCCGGCCCCTCCAATGCAATATGGTACAGTCAAAGAGATCAACAGACTTGAAACCCTTGAGGACTTAATCATATCTAAAAAGACTTAGACTTTAAGAAAATACTAACCATTATGGCCGTCACTCTACAAGTTTTATACAACTATAAGCATAGACATTGAAATGGACAATGCAATTTTGTAGCCACAGCAGCTCTGAGGGGCTGTTTACATGGAGGGAGGATGGTCCTATCACCAGGGCAAGCATTTAGTTTGGCATTACCAATTGGAAAGAACTACCATCTGCTGAGAGGTAATTATGAATGCCAGTGAAAAGAGCAGAAAGGCAAATATTGCACGTTTGTTATTGTTGCCCACCATCTTTTATTCCTTCTCTAGTTGGTAACAACACAGACCGCAATTTCTGCATGTAAACCCAACAAAATGATGTTCCCTAGGATCTTCCTGGTGCTAAAGTCTTCCTCCTTCCGTGTTAACAGCCCCTGAAGCATGCTGCATTTCCAGATCTGAGCATAATCTTTCCCATCAACCACCTGTAACACCATTCTATTACCCAAAATATAAAGTCTAACCTCCAGTAATGGCCACCTCTCCACAACAGCCACCGTTTTTTTAGGCAGAGAGTCTGTACATTGACTCTTGTTTAAACCAGGGTTGTCATTAAGAGCCGGGGGCCGGGGATGTTCCCTGGCTACTAAGAGAGTGGCCCCCGGCTACTTTTTTGGAAAATAGAAGAAAAATAGAACCAAAAGAAATCCCTAGCCATTTGATTCCCCGCCTACTTGTTGTATTTACCCAGCAACTTGAAATCTTAGTGACAAACCTGTTAAACCTCTCTACAATGGCCACTTTCTTCTGTTCCCAAGGGGGCCATTGTGGAAAGGTTTGACTGAATATACCCAGAACACATTCTATTATCAAAGACTCTTACCTAGGTGGCCACGAAGAACCTTGACAGGCAAATCAAGATCATCCTATAATAAATTACATGTAAACATGAGGAAGTGATAGAAAATAATATTCATGTTAACTGTTGGTTGCTCCCAGCAGAACATGTAAATATGTAAATGTAAATGTAAATATCATATTATCCACTCCCCTCGGGCTTTTCAGGGATAATTTACAACACTGGTTGGGGGACTTTGCCAGACTGTTTAAGGTGGAGTTTACAAGTAAAGAAGGAATGAGTATTAATGCCCCCATACATGAATGTGAAAGTGAGATAGACCACTACACCGGGCACTACATGCCCTACTCTTTACAAAGAGTGTGTGGGTTCTTTAACGTCCCACAGATTTTTATCACACGTGCAAGGGCTTGTGAGACGGGGCCTATGGTTTATCATCCTTATCCAAGAAGACTAGAAAGTCAAACCGTTTGCAGAAATTATTACAAATTAGGCAGCACTTTCTCCTCAGTTATTTAAAGACACTGAGTGTTGGTCCGGCCGCTGTTTGAACCTACGGCCTCCCGCTCAGCAGACCGGCCCTCATCCCATTGAGCTAACCAGGCGGCGGTTAGCAAAGAAAAAACTACATTTGGCGGTTAGCAAACAAAAAACTACATTTAAACAATAAAAAAATTATTGCAGCTGATAGGAAAGACAATTAATGAATAAATTTGTGAGGCCTTGTGAAGCTGAGGTTTAAAAATTTGACAATCATTCAGGCTCATTGTGCCATCATTGTTAGCCTATCCCTAATCTGAAATTGGCATTGAACAACATGCAACGGGCGAACCCTTTTTGTTCAAGCAAGAAATTGACTTAATTGAATGATTTTGCTCCTTTTGGAGTAATTGCCATGGGGGACATCTATTAGACAGGAGGTGTTTATAAGAGAAGGCTGTCTAATGACAAACTTGAAAGCACGAGGAGAGCATTTATTAGACAAGAGATGTTATTTGAGATGGGGCATCAACTAGCTCAGTAATGGTATCCATGATTAATGGAGTCACCAGGTGACAAACTTAATCTGCTTTTTTTTTTTTTAAGTATTTTACAGAGAACTTTAAATAAATTTTGACCAGTAGCTTCAAAATAGGAGCAAAAAGTGAGATAAAACAATAATCATCGGGGTCACTCACTTCACAGACAGGGTACGACAGAAATGTTTTGCAATACACTCTTTTTTTTTTATAAGAATGTTGTTTTCCTGAATATTCTTATTTTTCTGCCGATTTTAGGCTGAAAATATTCTTGTATTATTCTTAAATTATAGCTTATGACATTTCCGTTTTAGAATTTATTGGGGTATATGTACATGTATTACATGTACCGTTCATCGAACTGTCATTAGCGTTGAACATTTTGCTATAGCCAGTGCAGGTTTTTTCGTTTTGTTGGCTAGTTTCGCCATTCAGAGAAAGGAATAATTTTATATGGTTAAGTTAAAAACATAAAATTGTATTGTATTTACAGATGTTTCAACACACAAAATTATATCTATCCTTTTCAAAATCTCAGCCTCGGCTTTATTCTTAAAATATTCTTAAAATTTCGCAAATTTCACCCTCGATATTCTTATAAAATATATTCTTATAAAAAAAAAAAAGAGTGTATTAGTTTTGTAGTAATTTTTATAATTATAGTGATATCATTACTATAATTAAATATTTTTCCATTTTAATGACTAACCTCATTAAAATTCACATTAATTTCAGCCATTTTAAAGGTGAAATTAACTCGTGAATATACCTGTTTTTCACGCCTCCGCTCTTTTCAGGTATCAGTATCAAGATAACAGGTTGCAAGCTTGCTTATTACTCATTATTTATTGAAGCAGAGGGTCTCGAGTTTATGTAGCGATAGCTTTGACGAGTATATAATTATCTGAGCAGTAATTTCTACAATTATTAAGCTGCGAAGAAAAAGCTACATTGAAATTAACAGAGGGGTTTATACATAAAGTATCACCGTTTCTTTGCAAGATCTGGTCATTACTTCCATTTTCCCGATCATAGACAAATTAAAGCCCTGTAATAACTGCCGGAATAACCAAGCGTTGTAAATACAAGCAATGTCATTCAGAACTTCTTTCACTACAGCCACTTAACTAATAAGTGAGGTTAATAACCTCATGGTTTATTGTCCAAGCGATTTCGCTATTTTTTCTACTTTTTATTGGACTCCCCAACAAACGGTGCAACACTGCAAATTACATGTACATGTAGGTTTCGCAAGGAAACAGACCACGACCTCGCCACAAAAGCAAATTGCACAAAAAAAAACTCACCAAAGCGCTTTCCTTTAAGATCAAGTTTTCCAGTTGGACATCTCCTGTAAACGTCAACATATATTATTTTAAAAACACTAGATTCAAAATGCGATCCACACAAAAGCTAGTGCAACTCCCGCTACGATCGACCCACCTCCCCAAATCCCAATTCTTAGCTGCGATGAATCTAGATTCTCCAAGTACTGGCCGGCGAACTTATTTAGAAGATCGACCACGTAGGACTCGAACACCATGATAGCTACAAGAAATCATTCATTTTCAAGGCAAAAAATGAACCAGTGAAGATTTGGAAGGGAAGTAAGCCCACCACAAAATTCTGCGCGGGTCATACGATTCGAACTTGAGCCCGCGATACGCATACTACGGTTTCTCTTTTCTTCCCAGTTAGTTATGTGACGTAGCAATCATTAATTCAAAGTAAACGGACTGCAAATTATAGTAGTTGCTAAAAAAGATATCTACGTGTCCCAACTGTTCATCAGTAGGATGCCTAAAATGCGTGCAATTCCACAATTGGTTTCGGCTCCATTAAATCCTATACTAATTGCAGAACATTATAGGAGGAGCCACCCACCATGTGAGCACAGTCGCGGACAACACATTTAAGTGAGGAAAATAACGCAAAGCAAAACTAAGACGTTATTAAACGAACTAAATGTACACGCAACTTAAACGAATAAATAATGCTGGCTAGAAAATTTTAGCTCCGATTTTTTATCAAGTGGATTTTTTTTTTACACAAATAAGAGATGACTTACGATAACAAAATCAATGCAAAACGACAAGCTATCGATTTCCCTTCTAGCTGGCTCGCATTACAGTACTTTCGTTCCATTAAAATTAAAGCCCCGAGCAAACGGACGCAATATTGTTGGCCAACAACTCCCAACATTGTTGGATGTTACATGTTGCATGGCCGTTTGCTCACCCTGTAGCATGTTGTTATGTGTCATTGTTGGGAGTTGTTGCGCAAAGTTTGAAACCTGTCAAGCTTTTTACAGTTTATAATTTATTCCCAGCAGTGCAATATACGGTGAAAATAACGCAATACTGGAAAAAATGAAACAAAAAAACTAAAACAATAAAGCTATACTTCTAAATTAAACTTGAAACCGTTTTATTAAATTGAGCCCTGCGTGCACAAATATTGCTTAATCTTGCAACTCTTTCTAATTTTCTGATATCAGATTGGCCGGAAACGTAAGTCACTGATTTCGTAATAATTGACCTTTCTTGTTTTCTCCTTGTCTCGGGTCCCGTCCTAGTCTGCTACACAGCCGTTTTTAGTGTCGTCACGCAACGCTCCTCGTTGCGTGACGACACTAAAAACGGCTGTGTAGCAGACTAGCTCCGTCCCCGCCAGCTCGAGAGTTTCCTTACATTTTCTTTTCAGTAAAGTTTGAAAAAACTAACTATTACTGAAAGTTAGGGGGAAGATTTCAAAACGTTTAAGGGGGCGCTTAACTACATAAAAGCTTGCCAAACGTTCCGAAACGTTGAGTCAAAATAGCCTGCAATACAATTGTATTCTTCGGGGGCGCGAATTCTTCTGTTTGTGTACTGGATAACCAGCTGTTACACTGATATGGGGATCCCCGCCCTTCTCATATTACCTTAGCGATCTGAGTTAGGGTTAAGGTTAGGGTTACAGGGGATGCCCATATCACTAGCACACTCCTCCTCAGCCGCTTCGTTTTTAATTTCGCACGGTAATGGCGAGCGACTGGTGATGAATCACAAGGGATCATGGAAAGGGTACAGAAGGCAGGCGAAGCCCGTTCTGTCCTTCCCGCCTTCCTTTGCCCGCACATTTTCATGGAGAGAGAGACGTCTGGGTACGAGGCAGTATCACTAGGGTTTTGGGAGTGGGGATGCCCAAAACGCGGGGATGCCATATATCAGTGTGACACTGCTATAAGCCACGGCTTTTGAACTGCAAGAAGGAAACTGGAACGAGTTAACTTTCGCCAAGACTTCTGGTGGAGAAGAGAAAAAAATTGGCCAATAGCTGACTGGCACGTCCCCGGCTACGATCCCTGCGGGACGCAATTCGGCTCCAGCTCGGTTCTCGTCTCTGCAGTGACGAATGGGGAATTAAGAGTCGAGGCGTTGGGGCGAGTCAAGGTTACGCTCAAAATGGAGATCTTAAATCATTCATCAAATGGGTTAGCATTAGATAAAATCGGATGAAGCCAGATTGGACACATAGTGAGGTTTACACAACGCATTATTCTGTTAACGTAACTATACTGGGACAGAAACCCTTGATTAAAAAAAATAATAACAAAACTGTGCGCCAGTTATAGAGAGAACATAAACACTTATAAGCAGTGATTAGGGCTAAGCACTGAACTGAAAATGGTTAGTTTTCATTTATTGTAATGAAAGTAAATGTGTATTTTAAAAATTACTGAAATTGGCAGCTAGTCCTCTAAGGTGTAGTGGATATGGATATGAGTTATGAAGAAAATGACTCGGGTTTAAAGCATTTCAGTTCTGTTCATTTATCTTATTTTATATTACTCAGTAAAGTTTGACTTAAATTGCTCGTCATGTAATTTAATTTTACCGAAAGAAACAATCTGGCTTCAGCCAATGTTACCTAATTCTAACCCTTCAAACAACCCGATCTTCCCAGTCCCTTGGCACCTGGAATTTGTTATACCAGGTTGTATTATCGAGAAAATATTTCCGGTAGAGGAACTGACTGTAAGTCACAAAAACTGTCGTTAATTATGAAACAAGCTGATGAAGCTGATTCAACGGTGACATATTGTGCGCTAGACCCTCGTCATAGCGATTCATTTCTCATTGAACAATCGAGCAGCTAAGGTATTTTTCTATTTACCGTATTTCCTTGAAAAAGCTCCAGGCGCTTATTTGAAATTACCACTAAAAGGAGGAGCGCTTATTGGATAAAGGCTAGGGTACTTAAACGAGAGGGGCGCTTATTAAGATTTCCTTTCAACGAAGTTTGACTTTGTGTCTGCTCAATCTTCAATAAAAACGTTAAGTTAGTATTTATGGTCTTCTGATTGTTAAAGCAGTAGCCGTAATCGAGCAAACAGTAGTCCCCTTAAAAACGGAGCACACAAATCTCATTATTTATCCTCGAGATCATCCACATCGATGATTTGCAGATCTCCGCATTCCCCACTATAAGAAAGTGAAGGAGAAGGAAGCGGGGCGCATATTCGAGGAAAGGGGAGGGGGCGCTTGTTTGATATTATGGTCTAGGGGACAGGTGCTTCTTGGCGGGGGATAGCGCTATTAGGGCGTGGGGGCTTTTTAGAGGAATTAGGGTAAGTAATATAACGCAAAATCGAGCAAGGCCTGTTCCTTCCATGGGGCTGAGCCAGGTTTGAAGAATTACGCCGAGACCTGCATTATTGGAGGAGGAGAAATGAACGTTGAAGTGAACGCAATTTATGCAATTGCGTAAAGAAGCCTGAAAAAGTCCTGAATTTTTTTCAGGCTTCTTTACGCAATTGCATAAATTGCGTTCACTGCGACGATCATTTCTTCACTTTCATTTCATTTCCGCACTCATATATGATTTATTTCATATATCATTAACATCTGCATTATTTTTCAGATCAAACGAAAGCCGGTTCCAATAATTGTTTTATTATTGGCAAGCAAGCAAGCACATGAGAAATGCAGGGTGCACATACGAACAGCTTGTTTGCCCCTAGAGTAGAGTGGACACGCGCGACTCCCTTCGCGTTTCTGCTCCTTCTCGCGTGCGCACCGTCTAATTCTCGCTGTATGCACTTGCCACACCCGCAGGCTAAGGCGACCTTCTAGTAGCCTGTGTTTGCTTCCTCGCAAGCTCCTCCCCAGTACTATTTGCACACCATATTTCTCACGCGCTTCAATGGCTACATACGAAGGCGGACCTTCTTTTAAAAAGCGGTTTAGAAGCTACGAGGGACTTAAAGATCCTGGGACGGCATTGGCGGCGAAAAAGTCAGTTAAGAAGTGAATCCGCGTAATTTTTAAAACATTGTTTACTTACTAACTTACGTTACTTACATGATACTAGATTATCGCCACATTACTTACATAATAAAGATACACAATACATACATCCTACATTTCACTTGCTTACATTGCTTTTAAAATTACCCACTTAACTAAGGTGGATTAATTCCACTGTCGCGTAATTTTTACACGCATATGCACGTAACTTTTAAGCGCGTAAGTGAAATTGAGGCAATGTATCGAAGGTGACTCGTAAACGTAAAAGTTACTAGCAGCCTTTCATATATTGCCTCTATTTTATCTACGCACGTAAAAACTACGCGACAGTGGAAATCCACCCTTACGCACGATCTTCCCTCCATACGAACGTTGCCTCTATTTTATCTACGCGCGTAATAGTTAGGTGTTTAAGTACATAGGAATTACGCAACAGTGAAAATCCACCTTTACTTGAATGGTATGACTTTTATGGAAACATAGAAAACTATTTTAAACGTAACTTAGTAAATAATACTTGTACACAACCAGCCATACCCATCACGTATTTATAAATTATCTGTCTGGAATTTTGAGACGACCTTATTTCAGTCTCTGTAAATTACTAGCGTGACTGCTGTTCTTCGTACGAACATCTCGACAAAGGAGAGACAGACTCAAGATTATTTTTGCCGGAAAAGGCAATGCAACCCATTTTGCATTAATTTCAAAGTCAAGACAATTTAAAATGGTTCGAAAAAACTGAGGGTTTCCTTGAAGGGCTAACGCATATTGTTTTGGAGCAATAGATATGATACCTCGCAATCAAAAAGTGCGTGATGAAATAGCAGGTTTGTTGTATCGTTTACGAAACCTAAGCAACAGAGAGAAGCTAGAGAGAAGAGTATTCTTGGTTAAAGAAGCAAGAGCTGTTTCTCATCCAGTTACCAATCATTCCAAAAGGATTTTTTTAGAAAAGAGCCCTCTCAAAAGAGGTACAAAAGAGGTTAAGAGCTTTCCTCGCACTAGAGTAGACGTTATTCAAATTTTAAAGAGGAAACATTAGTTCCCAATTTTCTGTGCAAACGTTTAAATTAAAATACTCGCAATTTAGATTCATTGGGGCAGTGAAGCGACAGGGTGTAAGACTTACCCCTGTCGATCGTGTCAAAGCCACAAAACTTGCAATCGGACAGCCATTTTTGACTGACTTTACAAGGGATAGAGACACTTTGAATCAGCGTTTTTATAGCGATTATTACAACTCACTTACCTTGTTAAATATAGGCGAACTCTCTAGGAGTTGAATTCATCCGTCTTCAAAAAGCAACTCAAATAGTTTAAGGCCTGGAACTAATGGGTTTACCTATGGAAATGAATTATTGGCTAT